GGGAAAACCCAAAAACCGAAGAGAGCATCGGACTGATTTCTTTCACACATGTGGACACGTGGAGCCAAGTAGAATGGGAAAGTGATGCGGAGAAGGCAGCCATATTCAGAATGACTCTCCTGCTCCTCCTGACTACATAGTAGTCAAGGAGCAGGCTGCTCCTCGTCCTGGCTTATATTCTCTGCAGGACAGGTCTCCTGGGAGACGGCCACTACAGACTAAGCTCCAGGACCTTGGACTCTTTGAACCTGACCCTATTTGTAGAGTTTGTGGGAGGCGCCAGCGCTAGAGATATTAGGACCTCGCTGCTTTTCCTGGAAGACAGATTCCAACACAGAAGGGAAGGGGCCTGAGTGAGGTACTCTTCACCATCCGGGAACCGTCCAAGATGGACGACTCTCTTCAGTCCAGTTCTTAGGAGAAATCTAAGGGCCGGAGAAACGGAAGTGACGTCCTTGGTCATTCTCACCAAAGTGTCCACTGGACTCTGAGAAAACAGGGTTCCGGTAACTCAAATGAGGTCTCACAAAGTGACAGAGTTGAGACTGGAATAAAGTTTCATTGGTTCTGGAACATAGTCCTTTGCCTCAACCAACACCACCCTACTTCCTGGTTTACCACTTCTGCGTTTTTCTCTCGGAGAAAAAGCCGTTGGGACCACAACCAAAGGAAATGCCAGTAGGTAAAGGTTGACCTTCCACGGGGTCAAGATGTCATGTGAAAACTCTGCCAGGCCAGATGTACCCCCAGAACGACTGTAGCCAGATACCTTCCTGGAGACCCAGGGCCAATGTGAAGTCCAGCACCGGTGTCCGGTGTTAGCCCAAGCCAAGGACCCCGCTGCTGCTGCTGCTGAGCTGTGGCGCGCTGTCAGCTTCTGTTCAGGGGCTCGGCTGTTTGGAAAACTTGTAATCGGCCTGGGGTGGCCTGACTCCAGCTGCTGCAGCCTCGCTTCCTCTAACCGCATCGCCGGAACCACACCACCCTCCCGCCTCCCAGACAGTTGCACTTTTACCCCAGTCAGATTTCACCTCGGCGAGATTTCCTGCAGTGCCTCCCCAGAGTCAGCCTTTCCCCTTCTGCGGCTCATTACTCAGTCTTAGGTTCAATGGTTCTTCCTCAAACGCTCAAAAACGTTTCCACACAACCTGAGCATTTATAGTCATAGGCCTTTTCTTTCCTCTCGATCAAATACAGTTCTTTGTGTCTTTCCAGCCCTGTTGCGGTATCGCTGACCAAAACGGTAGGGGAAATTCACGATGTACAGTCATGATGTTTTTGTATCCATTATGAAATGACTACTGCAATCCAACAGCTTAGCATATCCGTCACCTTATGCAGCTACCCCCGTACAGGCACAATGAGAATGCTTCAGGCTGGCTCTCCTGGCAAATTTCAGGCCGTGTAATGCAATATTATTAGTTACCATCACCATGCCAAGCATTAGATGTCCTCACCTTATCCAGGGCCGTTGGGATTTCTAAACCTGCTTATGAATTGGGGAATGTAAATGAAGGAGAATGGGGCAGGAGCCAGAGGACTTGATTCAAACTCAGTGGTGGTCAGGGTCCCAGGTAAAAAAAGCAAATGGTATATTAGAAGGAGGTTATCAGTTAGAAAAAAAAAAAAAAAAAGAAAGAAAGAAAGAAAGAGAAAAAAAGGGGGGAGGGGCGGTCTAGGAAACCAGGGCCAGGGCCAGGTTGAGCAAGACCAGCAACATCTCATGAAGGATCCTGGTGCCAGCAACAGCTTGAAGTCTCAGCATGTCCAGGTCTAAACAGAAATAAAGGGGAAGTGCTCACTAGGACTGGAAAGGACACCTGGCAAGAGCTAAGGGTGACGATGCAGCCCTGGGCCGGAGAGACAGCTCAGGGGGTAAGAGGCTTGTGTAGCAAGCATAAGGATTTGAGTTCGATTCCCAGACCCATGTTAAAACCAAAAAATGGAGTGACAGGATGATCCCTGGAGCTCACTGCTCAGGCGGTAGTCTCGCCTACTTGGTGTGTTCCAAGATGGCGAGAGACCCTGTCTCACCAAAATAAGGTGGATAGCACCTGAGGTTGTTCTCTAGTGTGTACAACACACACAAACACACACACACACACACACACTCATACCACGTACATTCATAACTGCACACACATGTGTATTCACACACACATACACACACACACACACACACACACACACACACAGAAAATACAAGTCTCCACCTTGACGCCTGGTAGAGAGGTTGTTGGAAATAAACACCCCAGGCCTTCCTTCCTCTCACCCCCTCTGCCTCCCACCCAGAGGGGAGAGAGGCCGGTGTGTGAAGTCCATGGTGCAGGATAGAAAAGGAGGCCTTCCTGTCTAACACTTTTAGACTCTAGATTTGCATGCTGAACCTTTAGACCTCTAGAGGCAGATACTTTCAAAAAAAAAAAGCAGTCTGTGGCTGCTGCTATTTACTTATATCTTGAACCAGAATGTGTAGAATTAGAAATCCACACTTTTGTACCATCGCTTAGTTCTTAACACATTTCTGAGGAAAACAGGTTTTACATGTTTTGATTATTCATTATTTCTTCCGTAGCCATGTTTATACAACACCTTGAAGTGTGTCCTGAAAATTATTCCATTCTCTATTACAGTGAAGCCCTTCCGGTTCTCTGGTCTCTAACGTCAGTCACTCTGACCGCGGTGGGGCTTTGAATGATTTGTAGTCTGAAAAGAAAGAGGTGATTTACTCAGAAACACACCCTATGGCACCATGAGGGTCAGTAAGCGACACTTTCTAGGTTCAAAAAGCATGAAGGTGACGGGGCTCTAAGAGATATCCTAAGAAACCTCGGGATCTCCGGCACTGGTCCTTCATGGAGGCCTGGTTCCGGAGATGATGACGGACTGTCAGAAGCATTAGATGTTCCTGCAGTCTACATATGTGTTCCCCCCACAGCTGTGCAAGTTAAAGGCTTGGTCCCCATTCTGTTTTGCTATTGAATGCTGGCTGAACCTTCAGGTAGTGGAACCTACTAGAAGGAAATGAGGAGTCTGGTCATTGAGAAATTGTGTCAAAACAAGTTGTAGAGCTCTTCCTGCCTTGTTCTCTCTCTCTCTCTCTCTCTCTCTCTCTCTCTCTCTCTCTCTCTCTCTCTCTCTCTCTCATGTTCATGTGTGTCCAGGTACCTATGTATGATGCACGCGTGTATGTGGAGCCAAAAGACGAACTCAAATGTCACTTCTCCGTGCCATCCACCTTGATCCACCTTGTTTTGGGAACAAGGTCTCTCATTTTGCCTGGAGTGCTCTGAGCAGGTTAGGCTGCATGGCCAGTGAGCTCTGGGAATTCTCCTGTCTCTCTCTCCCCAGCACTGGGATAAAGAGTGTGGACCATCACGCCCAGTTTTCCGACTGGGTTCTGGAGATCCAACTGGAGTCCTCGTGCTGGTGGGGACAACACTTTACTGACTAAGCCATTTCCCCACCTCACTCTCTCTTTTAATGCCTAGCCAGCATGAGGTCGGCAGGTTCCTCTGTCACATGTACTGCTTAGACAAGATCCCAAAGTAACAGGGACAACTGATCTTGGATGGAAACCTCTAAAATCACAGGCCTAAATAACCTTGTTTCTGTATAACCTGATTGCCTTAGGTATTTGTTACAGTACCAAAAAAAAAATAAATAAATAAAAAAATTGACCAAGCAAAGTTTACTTCTGTCTTCCAGCCAGTCCATACAGAGAATGTTCTGGACACAGGGGAACAGCTGAAAGACAAGTCCCTTGTTTAAAGAAGAGAAATGAAGATCCCAACACATTTCTAGTTATTTCCTCTATATTCATGAGGAATACAGAGAAATAACTCTTTATATGATTCCAAAAAAAAATTGTACCCAAAATGCTCAGAATTAACATTACTTCTATTCTGAACATGTCATTTTCCTTGCCATTATTTCCTAGACACTGCAGTATAACTATTTACATAGTATTTCGAGTTATCAGTAATCTAAGGATGGATTAAATATTAAGGGGATGTAAGCAATTTGTGTGGAGATTTATATGAGTGTCGAAGGAACCTTTTTGTATCTGCTGGGGCTCCTGGAACTAATCCTTTTTCAAAGGACAACTGTTCAGACAAAATATGAAATATGTAAGAACTCTCTGTATGATAATAATCTTAAGTTCAATGAAGAGCTAAAGAAAGCTCTTGCAGTGAAGAGTTCAAGGTGGGTCTGATTGTTTTCCTTTTTTAAACAGGGTCCCACTACGTATCCCCATCAGACCTTGAGCTCACAGTCACCCTGCCTCAGCTTTCCGGGCACCAGGATTATACATATAGTCCAATATACATGGCCGAAAAGGCTGATTTTTTTAAGAAGTTTTTTATATGTATTTCTTTTATGGTATGAATATTTGGCTCATATGTATGTATGTGTACCACTTTCATGCCTGGTATTCTTGAGGTTTAGAAGAGGGCATTGGATTCCCTGGACCTGGAGTTACATTTGGTTCTGAGCCACCACATGAGTGCTGTGAACTGAACCCAGGTTCTCTGCAAAGAAAGCAAAATGCTCCTAACTACTGAGCTATCTCTCCAGCCCTGAAAAACATTTATTTTTGGTAGAATACTTTAATTGTAAATATTTTCTTTTTGCATTAATATCTTAGAAGATGATTGGAGAGACCAAACCGGTGATGTTCATTTTAAAGGATTAAGAAATCTAGGAAGGCCAGGTATGGTGGTGCATGCCTTTGAGCTCTGTACTCAGGAGGCAGAGGCGGGGGGAATCTCTGTGAGTTCGAGGCCAATCTTGTTTACATAGAGCATTCTAGGCCATTCTTAGTGAGGTTTACAAGAACATAGTGAGATCCTGTTTCAAAAACAAAACAGTAACAATAAAAAGGAAATCTAGGAAAAAGAGATCAGGGGTGTGGCCCATTTGGTAGCATTTGCCTAACATGTACAAAAACTGGATTCCATCAGCATCACCACAGAAACTAGGCAGGATAACGCTTGCCTGTAACCCCAGAACTTGATAGATACGGATAGAGACAAGAAAACTAAACTTTTTGAGGTCCTTTATGGCTATATAATGAGTGTGAGGCCATTCTACAATATATGAAACCCTGTATCCAAAAAAAAAAAAAAAAAAGTCTATGAAGCCAAGTGTAAAAAATGTTGTAAGCCAAGTATGTATTGTTGGGTTCACGAGCACCAAGAATTAGGAGATGGAGGGAGGAAGAAAGGGAGAGGCAGAGGTCCTGTGAACCCCGGGGTGGGTGTTTGTGCAGCCTAAGCCTAGGGCACTCCACAAAAAGACTCTTCAGTCAGTGGTTGACGGGTTAACTATCGTAGTCTATGAAGCACATCTCACGGTATTCAGGAAGCGTTAAGTTCACTTGAGGAGACCTTTCTCAAAAGGTGTCTCCATTGCTAACAAATAACTGGACTTTGTGTGGGGTGACCCGTGCAAAGGTGATCCACGACACGGGATGGCAGTGTTAGTAGCTCCTTTTAAGAACTCTTGCCCGTAGAGGAGAAAGGTCCGAAGAGTGCTTCATGACCCTAAAACCATTTTATTCTCGCTTCAAAAATCATCACCAAGATCAGAAGGCAGCTAAAAAGACAGAAGATACTTAGTGAGGTTTACAAGAACAATTATTCAAATCAAGTGTCAATCCGCAAGTCAAATTTTGTTTCTTCTTTCGATGCAGAATGAGATAAGCGAGGCCAAGTCTGCTCTCTTTTCAATTTCAACTTAAGGAAACAGCTCTTGTTGTTCAGATCTGGAGTTTCCATGATTCGATGATGAAACAGTTCAGACAAGAGGCAGTCATTCTCTATAAACACCACAGAACCCAATCCTGGCGGCAGATCTATGCAGGAGCCGGATTCCATGGCTTCTGAACTTAAATTTCCATGAGCACAGAGCAAAGAAACAGTGAGATGAGAACAAGATTATTTTTATCTGAAACCTACCATAGGACCACAAAATTGTTAGTAAAAATCAACCAAAACATGTATATCTCATCGATACAAAAGCTTCCACTAACCACACTCTACAAAAGGC